ACCATTTTCTTGGAGTCCCCCCTTATTGTATTGCTGGAGCAATTGAACTATTTGGCTGGACACTTAGATTTTCTCTCAATTGCTATTGTGTAGTGCCCCTTTTCTATGTGGGGAATTTGCTCTCCTCCAAACTGAATTAGCTTTTAGTGTTTGTGTGCTAGATTTGGCGCCAATCCTCCAGGGACCTTCAATTCTGTATTTACATGTTCTCTACTGGCCTCGGTTGAGGGAATACAGATCAAGGACTTCATCAACCATGTCAGTGTTTAGGTGCCTTAATCATACTTGTAGGTCCGTAATGTTAGTGAATAACGTGCCAGGTTGCAGTGTCACCAGCTGAAGGCCATTAGTGATTCCAGTATTCCAGCAAGAGATGCACAAGCCGATTTGATAACGAATCTCATGTGCGAGGTCCTAGTTTTGAAGGTTCTCATTAGCATCCTATCATTTCCTAGGTGCAATTGTAGATGACATTGTATGTGACTTTGAAGGCAAGATCTCTGTCATTATAATCCCAGGTCCTTCCATTACTTTCCGCTCAATTGTATGATTTGAATTTGTTGTATACCCTACATTTTTATTTCTTCAGTTTTCCAATATCTGAGTAGTTGAATTATTTCTCATGTTAAACACATTGTTTTTGATTTGGCCCATACGAAGATTTGGGTTGCGTCGCTTGGAGTCTCACGTATGCTTCAGTGAGGTCACTGCAATGTAATTCAGGTATTCTGCAGAGGAGAGAAGGAGCATTGGCTTATTCTTTCAATGTCAGGAAACTGTACTGGAATAGAATGGGACCTGATTTTGAGCTGTGGGAAGTGGAGGCAATTGTTTTTAAGACGTGGCTGCCTGGGACTATACTCTGCTTTTTTTATCTAATGTGCTATTTGTCAGGAATTGTTGTTCTCTACGACTTTACCATTATGGCCTTTATCACAGCATTTGTGTTCTATACCCATGGTCACACGTTGCGAAAGCTTTGCAAAGTATGTATTTAGTACTCTGTATTTTGTTTATCCTCTACAGCACCAGGACCTAGTTAGTGGTCCATAGCTGGATAGGCAGGAGCAACCTGCTTTAACCCATATTTCCTTGGGTTATGTAAATGATGGGTATCAGGAGTTGGGATCTTGTTCTTAGGACTCTCTCAAAGATTTTTGATGATATGGATGTTGTGCTTTTGGTCTGTATTTCTTGTCAATTGCTTTTCCACCTTTGCGGAGGGAGTATCAGGTTTGTTTTTAAATAACCAAAAAAAGGCACAATACGTGACTGGAAAAAATCTAAAATAACCCGCACTTAAAGAAGAGCTTACGATACGTTTCGGTCGACTTGGACCATTTACTAAAGTCACACTACAAAAGTGGAGCAGGACGGTTATATCAGGAAGAGTTATATTGGTGGTGGTGTGTATGTATAGTATTTGGATGCTGGGTGTACGGTGTGGTGTAGTGGTGGTGGTGGTAGTGGTGGTATGATAGTGGTGGTAGTGGTGGTAGTGGTAGTGGTGGTAGTTAGTGGTAGTGGTGGTGGTAGTGGTGGTAGTGGTAGTGGTGTGGTAGTGGTAGCGGTGGTAGTAGTAGTGGTATAGTAGTGGTAGTCTAGTGAGTAGTAGTAGTGGTAGTGGTAGTAGTAGTGGTAGTAAGTGGTAGTGGTAGTAGTAGTGGTAGTAGTAGTGGTAGTAGTAGTAGTGGTTAGTAGTGGGGAATTAAGGAGGAGAAGCCAGTCAAATACAAAGAAAGGGGAGCACTGCATGGGAGGAGGTGCCCACAGAGGGAGAGCAAGTGCACAGAGGTGGGGGGAAGGGGAAGTGATGAATAAATAATGAAGGAACAGAAACATGAAGACAGAAGAAAGAAAGACAACTCAGAGGAGAAAAAAGGAAAGAGGAAAGAGGAAGAGGGAGAAGAAGAAAAAAAGAAGGAATCAGGCTAAGTCATGGTTGTTATGAAGTTTGGAGCATTTTACAATATAGTGGGAGAGGAAGGCATCTACAGAGACGAAGCCACTACTAAGATTCATACAAGGGAAGTTATGTATTAGAGAGGATTCAAGTAGACGGCGACTGTTAAAGTTGGAAGTAGGGAAGACAGTTTTAGCAAAAGACCAGCCAATAGGATGACTGTGATCTTTGACGTGACAGAACAGAGCATTGTCAGTGTCGGCAAGCCTAACACTATTTTTGTTGTAGATCCATCTACCAACTTTCCCATTATTCCTTTATCACATATTTTGTGTTCTATTATACCATGGTCACTCTTGTCGAAAGCTTTTGCAAAGTATGTGTATAGTACATCTGTATTTTGTTTATCCTCTACAGCATCCAGGATCTAGTCTTAGGGGTCCAGTAGCTGGGATAGGCAGGAGCGACCTGCTTTAAACCCGTATTTCCTTGGGTTATGTAATGGGTATCTAGGTGGTTGGCGATCTTGCTTCTTAGGACCCTCTCAAAGATTTTTATGATATGGGATGTTAGTGCTATTGGTCTGTAGTTCTTTGCAATTGCTTTACTGCCACCTTTGCGGAGTGGGGCTATGTCTGTTGTTTTTAAATAACAAAAAAAGGCACAATACCGTGACTGGAACAATACACAAATAACCCGCACATAGAAGAGAGGAGCTTACGACGACGTTTCGGTCCGACTTGGACCATTTACAAAGTCACACTAATGAGAAGTGGAGCAGGACGGGTATATATAGGCAGGAAGAGGTAGTAGTGGTGGTGGCGGTAGTAGTAGTAGTAGTAGTAGTGGTAGTAGTAGTGGTGGTGGTGGTAGTAGTAGTGGTAGTAGTAGTGGTAGTAGTGGTAGTAGTGGTAGTGGTGGTAGTGGTAGTAGTAGTAGTAGTAGTAGTAGTAGTAGTGGTAGTAGTGGGGAATTAAGGAGGAGGAGCCAGTCAAATACAAAGAAAGGGGAGCACTGCATGGGAGCTAGGTGCCCACAGAGGGAGAGCAAGTGCACAGAGGTGGGGGGAAGGGGAAGTGATGAAATAAATAATGAAGGAACAGAAACACGAGACAGAAGAAAGAAAGACAACCCAGAGGAGAAAAAAGGAAAGAGGAAGAGGGAGAAGAAGAAAAAAAGGAGGAATCAGGTTAAGTCATGGGTGTTCTGAAGTTTGGAGCATTTTACAATGTAGTGGGAGAGGAAGGCATCTACAGAGACGAAGCCACAACTAAGATTCATACAAGGAAAGTTGTGTATTAGAGAGGATTCAAGTAGACGGCAACTGTTAAAGTTGGAAGTAGGGAAGACAGTTTTAGCAGAAGACCAGCCAATAGGATGACTGTGATCTTTGACGTGACAGAACAGAGCATTGTTAGTGTCGGCAAGCCTAACACTATTTTTGTGCTCCCTAAGTCTGTCAGAAAGAGATCGACCAGTTTCTCCGAAGTATTGAAGAGGACAGGAGGAGCAAGAAATAGAGTAGTCAGCAGGAACATTTGTAGAGGGAGGAGAGGTATGAACGAGATTAGTGCGAAGAGTATTAGTCTGGCGGAAAGTAAGCTTGATGTCTAAGGGACGGAGAGAATTGTTGAGATTAGAAAGACCGGAAATGTAGGGAAGGCAGAGGACAGAAGAGTTCCCAGGAGTAGAGAGTTTGGGAGAGAAGAAATTACATTTAGCACATGAGAGGGCAGAGTTGTTAGTGTGACTTTGTAAATGGTCCAAGTCGGGCCGAAACGTCGTCGTAAGTTCCTCTCTTCTATTTGCAGGTTATTTGTGTATCTGTTGTTTTTAGTGTGTGCAGGATGACTCCTGTGTCTATGCTCCCTCTCCATAAAATGCTGAAGGCACATGATAGGGACTTCTTGCAATTGTTGATGAACACTGAGTTCTATGAGTCTGGGCCTGGGGCAGAGTGCGTGTGCATATCATTTATTGCCTCTTCAAAGTCTTGTGGGGTTAGAATAATATCCGAGATTTTTTAGATGACCATATATTAGGTTTAGTTTAATAAAGAATTCATTTGGATTGTTGACCCTTAGTCTGGGCAGTGGCTCCCCAAACTCTGAGTCATATTGGGACTTGAGTATCTCACTCATTTCTTGGCTGTCATCTATGTCCCATCCCGCCTAAGCAGGGACCCAATACTGGATGTTGTTTTCCCCTTATATTTGGCATAAGAGAAGAAGTATTTTAGGTTTTTTTCAATTTCCTTTATGGCATTTAGTTCTTCCTGTGATTCTTGTCTCCTGTAAGATTCCTTCAGCTTAAGTTCAATATTTGCAATTTCATTGACTAGTGCCTCCCTTTGTATTTCAGATATAGTGGCCCCACTCAGCAGCTCTGTGACTCTTCGCCTTCGTCTGTATAGGGAACGTCTCTGTCTTTCTAGTTTACATCTTCTCTTTCTTTTTCTTAATGGAATGTATCTTGAGCAGATCTCAGGAACCACAGAATTCATTTTTTCAAGGCAAATGTTCAGATCCATGTTGTTTAGTATATCTTCCCAGTTGTTTCATTTAGGACATGGTTTACCTGATCCCATTGTATGTTTTTGTTATTGAAATTAAATTTCTTGAAGAGACTTTCATGACTGCTCACATTTTGCTGGTCAGGAGCCCTGTGTATACATGTCTGTACCTTTATTAATGTTCCTCTATTAATGTAATGGATTATTAAGGGGATTGTCTGACTGTACGTTAAATCAAATTATAAAATAGAGATAAAGCGTTAAAGTGCTCCAGTGTACATCTAGTGTAGTAGTGTACACATGATTTGCTGATATATTGCAATAAACAATGAAAATAAAGAAGCTGAAGGTACAATTTAACCAGTGAATTTTTCCCATTATTGTAGAACTACATTCTATTGAGTTTCCTTATATTGAGGGTTTATTGTAATTATGTGTAGTTTTCTCTGTAAAATAAACCTGCCCAGTTTATCTAATATGATAACTTAGCAGATATAGATTTACAAAAATGTCTCATTCAGTTTTTTCTTTTACAGTGGCAGTAAACATACCATAATGACACTTCCACATTGAGTCATGATCACACTGAAGAACAATGAAGGATACTACATTGTCTGAAGTACTGAGTACAACTACAGTCAGCACCAAGTTTGCTGAAGCATGCAACATTGTCTGAAGTACTGAGTACAACTACAGTCAGCACCAAGTTTGCTGAAGCATACTACATTGTCTGAAGTACTGAGTACAACTGCAGTCAGTACCAAGTTTGATGAAGCATGCAACATTGTCTGAAGTACTGAGTACAACTGCAGTCAGTACCAAGTTTGATGAAGCATACTACTTTGTCTGATGTGCTGAGTACAACTACTGTCAGCACAATTACAATACTATTGACAATTTGTGTGTGTTACAGTTGTCGGTATTTGAGTGTACTGTTCAGGAAATTTTGTAATTTCTAACTTTTCCATGGAATTAAGGTAACAGAAAATATGGTACAGTGCACACATATTTCACATTTAATACATGAAAGACAACTTCAGTGAGGCATAATTCATGACATTTTTTCTATTTTAATTTACTATTTCTGTATTCTTTCCTTCCCAGAAACTATTATAGTAGTCATAGTCTTACCCGTTATGAAAAGTCTTCCCCGTATTATGAAAAGTCTTACCCTTATTATGAAAATAATAATCTTAACCCTAGCATGACAATATTAGTCATAATCTTTCCATTAACTGTTTTCAAAAACCTGAATATTTGTTATTTTATCTAATTTTCTTGAAATATTCCCTGTATATCATTATTCCAACATCTCTCTGATTTTGTTTCATTGTACAATAAAAATGAAGACATTGCATGAATCAAATTAATTATTTACTATGTCAATAATCATGTAAAACATGTAAATGTTTTGTGACATTATTTTTTCATCTAAATTTATACTGGTTACAAGACTTTGTATGAAAAGAATTTTTTTTTTAGAAAGGCCTTCACTGGAGACTGTATTATATGTGAAACAATAGAAAGTAAAAAATGTGTGATGAGTACATCTTTTGTTATGTGAAGTACAATAAGTCTGTTATGTGAAGTACAAAATGTCTATTGTTATGTGAGGGAGTGCATAGCATGCAAGGAATTTCTTATTTATGTAGTGTTAAAAACTTGAAATGAAATCAAAGTCAACATGAAGGTAGTAAAAAAAATCCATCGGTGTCCTGTTTGTGAAAAAGTTTTTCCAACTAATTATAGACTGATGAAACATAACAGTACTCATACAGGAGAAAGATCTTATCACTGTCCAGAATGTCTAAAAGGTTTTACTGATAAATCTTCATTAAAAAAACATAAGAGAGTTCATACAGGAGAGAAGCCATATCAGTGTCCTGAATGTCTGAAAGATTATACTGATAAATCCTCATTAAAACAGCATCAGAGAATTCATACAGGAGAGAAGCCATATCATTGTTCAATGTGTCTGGAAGACTTCAATGATAAATCCTCACTAAATAAACATGAGAGAGTTCATACAGGAGAGAAACCATATCAGTGTACAGTGTGTCATAAAGACTTTAGACAAAGGAGTCACTTGAATTCACACATGAGACTTCATACTGGAGAGAAGCCATTTCAGTGCTCAGTATGTACAAAATTATTTACAGTAAAATGTGCTCTGGTAAAACACATGCGGTATCATACAGGAGAGAAACCATATCAGTGCTCAGTGTGTCATAAAGACTTTAGACAGAGGAATCACCTGAATTCACACATGAGACTTCATACTGGAGAGAAGCCATTTCAGTGCTCATTGTGTGCAAAACAGTTTTCGGTAAAATCTTCTCTAGTGAAACACATGAAGACTCATACAGAAGATAAAACACATCAGTGTCCAGAGTGTCATAAAGTACTTTCAAGTCACACTTTTTTAGTTAAGCACAAGACACTTCATAAAGAACATAAATCATACAAGTGTTCTAAATGTCAGAAAAACTTTTCATTAGAAGAAAGTTTAGTAAAACATTTAAAAATTCACACAGGAGAAATGCTATACAAGTGTTCAGAGTGTCAGAAAGACTTTTCAGAGACAAGAAAATTTAATATTACATCAAAGAATTCATGAGGGGGAGAGCCCATATAGTTGCTCACTGTGCTCACAGAGCTTTTCACAAAAATTTAAATTTGAAAATCACATGAAAGGTCATAACACAGAACAACCATATCAGTGTTCAAGGTGTCTGGAAAGTTTTTCTTATGAGACTAACTTAGTAAATCATATGATAACTCATATATGAGAGAGAATACATGGTAGTGTGAAGTGTTTTAAAGATTTAAGTAAATCTTCCCTCAAGGGAGGTTCCTGGACACTAGTGAGGGGCTCTTGATATAAGGAATTGGATCTGTGCTCCATTTCCCTGAATTAAGCCTGAATGCCTTCCACATTCCCCCCATGAGTGTTGTATAATCCTACAGGTTTATCGCTTCCCCTTAATTATAATAATAATAATAATTTAAGTAAATCTCATTTTGTAAAACCTCTTGTGATTGGTCACTTCAGCAGGAAAATCCAAGTGAAATTGATGTCCTTTTTAGAAACATATGTAAGACATATTTAACATATGGTAAAAGAACACAAATGTAAAATTACAATAAGACATGACTAAAATACACTTAAAATACAAGTTAATTTTTTCTTACCTCTCTAGTGCACATACAAGTACAGGTCCGCCATCACAAATCCGGCAATCAGTTATTCGGTTCCTTCAGTTATTCGGCACTAATTTTGGCTAGCATAATTTCAAATTTCCAGGGTTGCCACACCAACCTGCTGGTACTGTGTGGTGGGGCTACTTGCTGCATAAGGCATTCCAATTTCTTTTTCTCCATTTATTGTTTTAACCTGCTTTTAGCCCTAGCCATGGTTCCAATGAATAAAAGAAATGCTTCTCATTATGTAAAGCACCTACACAGTACATTATCCATTAAAGATAAGGTGGCTTTGAAGCCACTGTTGGTTGTCATGAGCTCAGTCTCATGATGCAGGAGAATATGCTTTATTATTACGCTAATATCAACACTACAGCTTATTGCCTATCACAAGTGATCTAATATGACATAATAAACAATATAAATAACATAAAACATGTTAAATACTCCAGAATGAATAATACTTGGTGTAATACCGAGCAGCTCGATGGAGGTATGAAGAGGTTATGGTATACAAGTACCATTCTCCTATCCCTGTCTTGGTGGCTTATATTAGAGAAAACGGAGTATAGCACAGGGCTAACTGTGATATACACTCGTACTGCACCATAAACCTGAAACAAAAAAGTTATTTTCTCTATATAGATTATCACACATAGCAGAATATGTGTAGAGAACCTAGGATAACCCAACAAAGTCAATGTGGCTTCTTTTTAGTACCTGGCTTAGGTCAGCCATATATGATTTTTGGTAAATATTCGATTCCCAGCCAGGGTGGAAACATTAGGCGTGTTTCTTTACACCTTTTGTCTATATTTACCCATCAGTAAATGGGTACCTGGGTGTTAGTCGAATAGTGTGGGTATTATCCTAGGACACTGATCTAATTTTCTTGAAATAATCTGCATAACAAGAGGCTTTCTATATAGTAGTATGTCACTGATGTCAGCTATGTCTGTATACCGTGTACATGTATGTGTAGTAAATAAAGATATTATTATTATTGTAATATTATTATTATTATTTTCTCAGTTGTTTGTTGGGTTATCTTATTCAAACTTGGGCAATGTATGATGGAAAGATACTTCTTAATATTTTTTTTATTATCACACTGGCCGATTCCCACCAAGGCAGGGTGGCCCGAAAAAGAAAAACTTTCACCATCATTCACTCCATCACTGTCTTGCCAGAAGGGTGCTTTACACTACAGTTTTTAAACTGCAACATTAACACCCCTCCTTCAGAGTGCAGGCACTGTACTTCCCATCTCCAGGACTCAAGTCCGGCCTGCCGGTTTCCCTGAACCCCTTCATAAATGTTACTTTGCTCACACTCCAACAGCACGTCAAGTATTAAAAACCATTTGTCTCCATTCACTCCTATCAAACACGCTCACACATGCCTGCTGGAAGTCAAGCCCCTCGCACACAAAACCTCCTTTACCCCCTCCCTCCAACCTTTCCTAGGCCGACCCCTACCCTGCCTTCCTTCCACTACAGACTGATACACTCTTGAAGTCACTCTGTTTCATTCCATTCTCGCCTACATGTCCGAACCACCTCAACAACCCTTCCTCAGCCCTCTGGACAACAGTTTTGGTAATCCCGCACTTCCTCCTAACTTCCAAACTACGAATTCTCTGCATTATATTCACACCGCACATTGCCCTCAGACATGACATCTCCACTGCCTCCAGCCTTCTCCTCACTGCAACATTCATCACCCATGCTTCACACCCATATAAGAGCGTTGGTAAAACTATACTCTCATACATTCCCCTCTTTGCCTCCAAGGACAAAGTTCTTTGTCTCCACAGACTCCTAAGTGCACCACTCACCCTTTTCCCCTCATCAATTCTATGATTCACCTCATCTTTCATAGACCCATCCGCTGACATGTCCACTCCCAAATATCTGAATACATTCACCTCCTCCATACTCTCTCCCTCCAATCTGATATCCAATCTTTCATCATCTAATCTTTTTGTTATCCTCATAACCTTACTCTTTCCTGTATTCACTTTTAATTTTCTTCTTTTGCATACCCTACCAAATTCATCCACCAATCTCTACAACTTCTCTTCAGAATCTCCCAAGAGCACAGTGTCATCAGCAAAGAGCAACTGTGACAACTCCCACTTTGTGTGTGATTCTTTATCTTTTAACTCCACGCCTTTTGCCAAGACCCTCGCATTTACTTCTCTTACTTCTTAATGTACACCAAAAATGAAAGAAATCAGACCATAAATAGCGGAGTTCACTTCTCAGCCATTAGCGGCTGCTTAGCGGTATATTTTTGTATGGTTGTTATGGTTATATTCTCATTTTTTTGGTCTCATTTGATAGAATGAAAGATATATTACAGAAATAGATATGATTTTGATTGCTTTCATGACGAAAAGTACCTTGAAATTGCGCTCACAGTATCGAAAATGTTCTATTCTTTAGCGAAGCTCAAGAGTAAACAAATGACGTCACCGTCTAATACCTGTCCGCCTGCCAGTCCAAATTCCAGTACGGAGTCAAGAATGGATTGACATTATTTATACAATTATTACAATAATGCAGCAGTCTGCATAACAGTAAATCTTCTATTTTTTTTGTGAATAAAACTTCCAAATGAAAAGCAAGAGTAATATAAGAGGGGCCTGTAGCCATGACTAATGAACAGAGAAAATGTTATTTTAGTGCCAGGAATGTCTGCATTATTTATTCTGGATCCATGTTTGAAATTGGCATCTGTTGAAATTTGTGTGAAATCAGTCAAATTGCCAATTTCTGACCACTTTATTGGGTAGTTGAAATAAGTGAATGGGCAGTTTCTTGTACTCAGTTGACAAACTAGAAGTAAGTTTATTCAGGTATACACAAATACAGTTACATAGATTATCATACATAGCAGTGTATGTATAGAGAACCTGGGATAACCCAGAAAAGTCAGACAAAGTGACTTATTTCCAGTACCTGGCTTGGGCTTGCCATATATGATTTTTGGTAAATATTTTTTTTCTTGGTTGTTTGTTGGGCTATCTCATTGAAACTTGGGCAATGTATGATGGAAAGATGCTTCTTAACGTACAACAAAAATAAAAATGACGGACGATAAATAAGGGAGTTCACTACTCAGCCATTAGCCGCCTCTTTGCAGTATATTTTCGTATGGTTTTTATGGTTGTATTCTCATTTTTTGGACTCATTTGATAGAATGGAAGATATATTACAGAAATAGACATGATTTTGATTGCTTTCATAACAAAAAGTACCTTGAAATTGAGCTCAAAGTAGCAGAAAGGTTCGATTTTTGCCGATGTTAAATGAACTGTGTAAGTCAAGTTGGTTAATTTTATTAAGTGTATTCTAACCTAACCACTCTGTAATTCGGCAAACTTGGTAATCCGGCACACTACAGGTCCCAGTGTTGCCGGATTTGTGATGGAGGACCTGTAGTAGGTTAGTAGACAGCAGCCGCCCAGGGAGGTACTACCGTCCTGCCAAGTGAGTGTAAAACAGAAGCCTGTACTTGTTTTACATGATGGTAGGAGTGCTGGTGTCTTTTCTCTGTCTCATAAGCATGCAAGATTTCAGGTACATCTAGCTACTTCTGCTTACACTTAGGTGTCACATACATGTATAAGCATATTATATACACACCCCTCTGGGTTTTCTTCTATTTTCTTACTAGTTCTTGTTCTTGTTTATTTCCTCTTATCTCCATGGGGAAGTGGAACAGGATCTTTTTCTTCAAGCCATGCGTGTTGTAAGAGGCGACTAAAATGCCGGGAGCAAGGGGCTAAGAACCCCTTCTCCTGTATAAATTACTAAATTTAAAAAGAGAAACTTTCATTTTTCTTTTTGGGCCACCCTGCCTCGGTGGGATATGGCTGGTTTGTTGAAAAAAAGAAAATTAGTTCGTTTTGGTTTCTTTCTTTCTCTCTGTGCTAACAGAGCATACTAAATTACTACACAGGAAGTACCATAATCTAAAAACTGCACACCCTATAATGTACTTGTATATGTATCTAAAACATTCCCAGGACTACTGCTTCAGAAGTCCAGAATGTATGTGTTGGTTGTCATGATACTGAACATGGTCCAGGATGTAAGGGCAAGTTTTCTTACACCCACCTGCTGCCAATATTCAACTGGCAGTAAACAGATACTGAGGAGTTAGTTATCCTGGCCTCTGGCTTAATAATCCAGAGTCTTCAATCTTTAATATGTCCTTAACACTTTCACTACATTTTATTATACACCTCTGGCTCCAGTTATAAGTTCTTTAACAAAAGAACATGTTATGGCTGTAAGTGAACTTTGGTACTTATTAATAGTAAGCAAAATGAAGAGGAAGTATTGTTGTCCCATGGTTTCTCATTTTCCCTATAGCACAAATTAGGGAGAATCTTTTTCTGATGAGCAACCTCACTTAGTATTAACCCTTTGAGGGTTTCGGCCGTACTAGTACGTCTTATGCGCAGGGGTTTTTGACGTACTAGTACCCATAAATTCTAGCGCTGTCAAATCTCGCAGGAAAAGGCTGATAAGCCTAGATGTGAGAGAATGGGTCTGTGTGGTGGGTGTGCGCAGTAGGAAAAAAATCTAGGACCCAGTGGTGCATTGTGGGAATGCCATCATAGTACACAATGTCCACCATGCCTCGCGGTAAGAAGTTCCTCACTCCTCGGCGAATTGGGACACTTTTGTTCCCCAGTGACAGTTCTAATACAGATGGAAGTGACAGTGAAGAAGAGTTTCAAGGTTCTTGTGAGGTTTTGACTGGAACTAATGACCATAATATCGGTAATAGTGAGGAAAACCCAGACAACCCACAGCCTTCCACCTCTGGTGCTGGGCCGGCTTGTTCACGTTCAGTTGTACCAGAATCAAAGAGGAAACTCCTATTTTCCCAAATCCCAGACTCAGATGTGAGCATTGGTGATGATAGTGATAGTGATTACGAACTACAAGCTCTTCAAACTTGTTCCAAGAATGGAGGAGGAGGAGGCAGAGGAGGAGGAGGCAGAGGAGGAGGCAGAGGAGGAGGAGGCAGAGGAAGGAGGCAGAGGAGGAGGAGGCAGAGGAGGAGGAGGCAGAGGAGGAGGAGGAGGAAGAGGAGGAGGAGGAGGAGGAGGAGGAGGAAGAAGAGGAGGAGGAGGAAGAAGAAGAAGAATACATAATAATAACAATAATACATAATAATAATAATACATAATAATAATACATAATAATAATAATACTTAATAATAATAATATGTAATAATAAATGTTCACCCATGACAGTAACAAGATAAGGGGAGATAACATCTGATAAGTGCTGACGTTTGATGAGGGTAAATGAGGGTGGAGCTGATACCAAAAGATTACATGAACATCGCCCTCCCTTTGTTTTTGCTGGTATACTAACATTTCTGTCTGTCTATTTGCCTGTCTGTCAAGCTCCCTGTCTATCTGTCTATCCGTCTAGCTCTCTGTCTCAGAGAGCCACAAGACTGCGTCATCACTTTTACTCACATCTTCAAGCAGAGTATAGCACTTTGTCTGGATTTCTTGGGTTATCCTAGGTAATTTATACTACGTATACTTGTATTTATGTGTACCTGTGAGACAGAGATAGACAGACAGATAGAAAGAGATAGAATGAGGGAGAAAGATTATTAGAATGGAGGAGGGGAAGCAGCATCCGACCCCATTGTTTTGACAGGCGGGAGGGGGAGTGAGTAATGAGACAATATGTCACTTTGACAGCTGCCGACTCCTGGTAATTTACACTATGGAGGAGGAGGAGAAGGAGAAGGAGGAAGAGGAAGAGTAGAGGGAAGAGGAAGAAGAGGAGGAGGAGGAAGAGGAAGAGTAGGAGGAAGAGGAATAAGAGGAAGAGGAGGAGGAAGAGGAA